AATGTGGATAGGAGAAATGCCAGTGCTAGGATACACCTGAAAAGAAGGCAGTTTACGAGTGGTGAGGAAGACTTCTCATAAACTGGCCAATCCTTCCAAGACTAGGAGCATAGGAAGGTTTGACAATTATCAGGGGGAAGTGAGCCAGTAGGACGTGTGCCAATAAAGACCCGAGACTAGAGTCGGTATAACTGAGACTTGTGAACGCATCTTTTTATCCCATGAGCTTCTGTGGGCCTCTTCAAGACCACTTAAACTGCAGGAACATATGAGAAGGAGAGGGATCTTAAGCGAATGAGACGTTTGAGACAGAAATCCTTGTGAAACCGCTCATCAGAAGGAAGAGCGTCTGTTAAGAGATTGGGACACTGTGTTGGCGAGAAAAGTAATATTTCATATGGGACTTTCACACTTTCACTTTATTTGACAAAACTCACGGACCTGAAAATGCATTAACAAGATCAAAAAGGCTCTAAGAAAGGGTACATTTAGAGGATTCAGGCAATTGACGGCCAATTAGTTTTGCAATCATCAGGTGTCGTCCGCTCATCCAGTCGCCAAATTCCAACGGCAGGCTGGTTTTGGTGATTTTGGTACAGGCCTAAGTTGCCCACATGGAAGCGGTGTTCCGGCTGTGTCTTGCCTACAAAGCACTGACGACAGGAACCTGACCTGCTCATCGCCGCCAGAGCGGCCCGATTTGCATGACGGTCCCCGGAATCCGGACTCGAACCTTGAGCTCGCTGGATGCGGTGTGTAGTCATCGCGAGACCAGTGTCAGCCTAGTCTCCTGGGCTGTTGAGCAGGTGATTGAGCATGTGCCACTCCAGCTCTGTTTGACCGGAGAGGCGATTGCCGCACTGGTGGCACCAGTGCCGGAGACTACCGGTTGTCGGCTCCGTCTCCTCCTCGTCGCCAGGCAGCGCATCTGCGTCCGTTGAGTCAGTGAGGCTGGTACCATCCAGAAGGTCAGAGACGCTGAAACCACACGGTCTCGGCCCAGCCGGAGAGGGCTTGGGTGGTGCAAACAGTGGAGGTCCTGGAGACGGCTCGAACTCTGGCTGCCTCATTACGCCGCTGGCAACAGCGAGAGGGTAAGTGGGGGCATCGGAGAGACAGTTTGCTCGAGAGGCGAGGCAAGATGAGAACGAGAAGTTGAAGGGTGGATAGTAGAAAGAAGAGCAGACCGGGCCCAAAGAGGAGGTCGAGGTGGAGGAGGAGGCTGCCAGCGAAGAGGATACCGAGACGGCATTGAAAGGGGCAGAAGAGGATGGGGAGGAGGAGGAAGAGGAGGAAGAGGAGGAGGAGGAGGAGGAGGAAGAGGAGGAGGAAGATGAGGATGAGGATGAGGATGAGGATGAGGATGAGGACGATGAAGATGAGGATGAAGATGAGGAAAGCACTGGCTTCTGCACAGCTCCTCTTGTGAACAGGCCTTCGCCCAGCCTACGTGATGGTGGATTGACGAGGACACGACTTCGTAGTCTGCCGTCGACCTCAAGAGGCTCGGACCCGGGGCCTTCGGATCTGGCGGGCACCTCGGCGACTCCTGAGTCTCCATAGCCGAGAGCCAAAGGTGAAGAGGAAAGGGAGGTGACGGTGGAGCCTGTAGAATTAGCGGAGGAATAGGAGGAAGACGAAGGAGAAGCCGAGAATGGGGAGGACGTCTTTGGTTTGTGCCAGCGCCTGTGACTAGCCAGATTTGCCGGGCAACTAAATACCTGTTTTAAGGGAGTAGAAAGTAGGCAATAAAGTAAATTATAGTCTTAAAAAGCTTAA